CAACATCCTTAAGAATACAAGTCCAACACAAAATATATAACAGTCAAACCTACTCAGAAACACAAACCAAATCCTCCAGAAACCAAAAACTCCACTTCCAGCTGAAAACAACAATGACCTGTCAGAACTTCCAGCTAGCATAAAACATAATAAGGATACAAAACCTGAAACCAAAGAGCAGCTACTGACTGAAAAATTAGTAGATAGATGAACCACTGAACCAAAGGACCTAGCACACCAAATCTACTACCTTTTGCTATTTTCCCCTGGCAGTTTTAAACTCCATCCAATCCCTCCAAGCTGATTTCACCACCACATCTTCTGGCATCATGAGTTTTTGAAACTTCCATAAGTTCCTTGCTTTCCACAACCACCAAAGCATATAGGTGGTCAGTTGAATTCTGTCTTCTGAGATTTGAAGTTTGTTTACTGAACAAATCTGACTCCACCAACTGCAAAAGCTAATATTAGCCTCCTCCATTCCCTCCCATTTCAGATGAGATAACTTCCAAATCTTCTTAGCTCTAGAGCAATGGAAAAAAATGTGCTCAGTTGATTCTTCTGCCTCTCCACAACTCTGACAAATAGGATCTACCTGCAATCCTCTCTTCCTCAGGTTCAAACTAGTAGGCATAGCATTATTGACACACTTCCAGATAAAATGTTTAAGCTTCCCTTTAACTGCCAAATTCCAGCTCCTCCTTCTAATCTGTTTACTCCTCCCATTTGTACTACTACCTTCTGCAACATCCAATTCCCTGAATTTTTTTCTAATAGTGGCTTCATAAGTTTTGCTCACAGAGAACAACCCTTTGGAATCCAAGGTCCAAACCCATCTGTCTTTTAAACAAGGATTCAAGCTGTTAATTTTTAGTATAGCTTCCACATCCTCCACCTCAAACAGCTCATTTAACAAAGAGACATTCCATCTGTGACCATTCTCCCCAAGCAACTGGTTCATTGTCTGAAGATGACAGGTGACACCAGCTTTCAGATTAGGTCTCCCAGAACCCTGCTTCATAATCCAAGGATCTGACCAAATATTGGTTGTCAACCCATCTCTAATCTGCAGTCTAAAGAAATGGAAGTATTTGTCCCTAACAGCTAACCAACTAAGCCACAGCCAGGAAGCAGATGAATTCCTCTTAGCATTTAAGATAGATTCTTGAGGGAAGTACCTACCTTTTAGCACTTTAGAAACCAGAAGATTAGGATGAGTTAGAATCCTCCAGATTTGCTTAAGAATCAATGCATCATTAAATAGTAACAGATACTTGAATCCCAATCCACCCTGCTCTTTAGGTAGTGCCAACATTTTCCAAGCTCTCCAATGAACCCCGATTGTTTGATCCCTCCCTTTACTCCACCAAAAATTAGCAGTTAGACTAGAAATCTCCTTGCAGACTCCAACAGGTAAACAGAAGCATGACATAGAGAATACATGGAGAGAGTCAACAACTGCTTTAATCAAAACTTCTTTCCCAGCAGTGGAGAGAAAATTAGCTTTCCAATTAATTAACTTCTTCTTGACAGCCTCAGTAACAAATTTAAATACTTCCTTTTTTGACTTCCCAATGCCCAAAGGAAGCCCTAAATACCTGGTAGATTTGTGTACTTGAATGCCTTGAAATATTGAACAAATTCTGTCCTGCATCTCTCTGTTAGTACTCTTGCTGAAAAAAATAGCAGATTTACCAAGGTTGACCTTTTGGCCTGAAAACCTTTGATATTTTTCCAAAATATTCATAAGTATTTGGGCATGGATTTCATCAGCAGTACTAAAAAACAAAGTATCATCCGCAAACATGAGATGGGAAACAACCACCCCATATTTCCCCATTCTAATCCCAGAAAACAAACCTCTAGCAGCCACATTTGCAAGCATTTTAGACAGGACCTCTGACACAAGGATGAAGATATAAGGAGAAAGAGGATCTCCCTGTCTCAATCCCCTAGAGGCTTCAAAAAATCCTCTCATCTCTCCATTCAGATTAAAAGAAAAAACAGGGGAAGATATGCAAGCCATCACCCACTTAATAAAGGAAGGATGAAACCCCATTTTACCCAAAATTTTAAGAACACAACCCCATTCTATCCTATCATAAGTTTTTTCCATGTCAACTTTAACTGCCATAATCCCTTTTTTCCCCACCCTATGCCTATTCAAATAGTGGACAACTTCCTGAGCAATTATGACATTGTCAATGAGTTGTCTACCGGGAATGAAAGCACTTTGATTAGGACTAATGCAACTATTCAGACAACCCTTCAACCTAGAAGTCAAGATTTTGGAAATGATTTTATAAGACATTCCACAAAGGCTAATAGGTCTATAATTTCCAATAGAAACAGGATTAGGACATTTAGGGATTAAAGAAATAAGTGTATGATTCCAATTTCTAAGTAATTGCCCATAGGGCTGGTATTTTTGACCGAAAACCGAAAACCGAACCGAATCGAAAATGAACCGAACCGAACCATTTGTAACGGTAACCAATTTTCGGTTACTGAAACGTTATCGGTTCGGTATCGGTCCCGAACCCATAAGGGTTCGGTTTTATCGAACCGAACCGATAACAATTAAAAAAAAAAAAAACTTAGTATACTTATACAACCATTATATTGAACAAATTCAACTGGGAACTGACAAGAACAAGTTCAAACCGGCTTAAAACCAATAATACTAGAAAACCGTTTAAAAAAAAATGGTTTTAATTTTGGACTTAGGATGGCCAAGTCAAATTATAAGAAAAGTGACCTTATCATTTTATAGCCACCCTCTACCTTCATTTTAGCTTTCTCAAATCAATGTGGGACTTAAAAGGTAAACCTAAAGGTCCCCAACATTTTATAGCATCTATTTGCTTTTATTATAACTTTTTCAACCAATGTGGGACTAAATCCCAACATTTTATAGACCATTTGTCCCTTCGTTTTGGTTTTCTCAACCAATGTGGGATAAATGATAAATTGGCACATTTTAGTTCATGCTCATACATTGTGGAATAATGAAGCTAATTAATTACAATTTTGTCAAAATATAGTATATAAGTATAACTATTAGTAATGTTATTAAAAATGATCATAACAATTTATTAATCATATTTATTCAATATTGTCTTAGGCTCTTAGCCAAACCAAAAATCTTTGTCTTATCCGTCCATATATTGATAGATTAAAAAAAAAATGATATGTTGTGGGTTTTTATAGAATAAAAGAAAATGCATATCCCACTTTTATATATATTTTTTTAAAAAAATTTGTTAGTCAAATAAAAATACATACTTAAATAAAAAATATATATTTACATATAATGAACGTATATATGTTATTATTAGTTAGTTTAAGTATTTGAATGTTTTAAAATAACTTAATATTTAATTAACAAATTTTTTATATTCTAAATTTTATTATATAAATTATTATAGTAATAGAGGCAAATGAAGGGATTTAGTCCCACATTGGTTGAAAAAGCTATAATAAGGGCAAATAGAGACAATAAAATGTTGGGGATCTTTAAGTTCACATATTAAGTCCCACATTGGTTTGAGAAACCAAAATGAAGGTAGAGTGTGGCTATAAAATGAAGGGGTCACTTTTACTTTTAATTTACCTTGGTAATTGGTAATCCGAATTCTTAAATCATAACCGTATTTTTAACGGATTGGTTTTTCGGTTTTACCTATTTTAAGTTGATTTTAACGGTTCTTGGTTCACGACCACAAACCACACCAGTTTTTGAATCGGTTCTCGGTTGAACTGGTTCAAATGGCCGGTCCGGTCCGGTTTCACAACCATGGACTATTTTTTTAAATTTTTTTCGGTTTTTTCGGTTTAAAACCGAAACCGAACCGAGTTATCGGTAACCGAAGACTCGGTTACCGACTAAGAGTCGATTTGGTTTCGGTTTCCATTTTATGGTTACCGAAAATATCGGTTCGGTATCGGTTCGACCTTATCGGTTCGGTAACCGAACCGATACCAGCCCTAATTGCCCAGAAGAATAAAAACTAAGAATGGCTTCACACA